TTCCTGAGCCAGCATGGGGGAACTATGGCCCCCTCATGACTCGTGGACTTCAACTCCCAGAATTCCTGAGCCAGCGTGGCTCAGCTTGGAAACCTCTCCCTTTCCTCTCAGCATGGCTGGCTCAGGAATTCTGGGAGTTGAAGTCCACGAGTCATAAAAGAGCCATGGTTGCCCACCCCTGGCCTAGACCATTCCGGACCAATGGCTGTCCAGTCTCTTCTTAAAAGCCCTCCAATGATGGAGCCCCAGAGGGACCCTTCGCCCCCAGACCCAACTTTGCAGCCAAGGCAACCTCTTCACCACCTGTCAATCACCTTGCTCCTTGTCCATTAGAAAAATACTAGTTTAATCGCTTGCTTGGACCAGAAAGGAGAACATGGCTGCTCTCTTGACCTCACGTCGAGTTCCTCCTTCCAGAGTAACCAGAACGAAGACTGAGAAATGGTTCCCCCCCTTCCCCCCACCCGTGAGGATAGCGGGAGGACTGGCTTCCTCCTTGAGGGCAGTGCAAATGCGCAGAGAAGGGCGAGGGCAGACGGGGCCGTGCCAGAGAGTCCGATTCCTTCCAGGATTCCACAAAGGGCCAGTCAGGAGCCGCTCCTGGCTGCCACGCCACAGAGGGAGGGGGCCAGACCCCCCCAGGAAAGACCCTCTTCCTGGGCTCAGAAGGGCTGCCGGGCGAGGAACCGCTGGAACATGTTGAAGGCCGCTCGTGGCCGGTCGGTGGGCACCATGTGGCCAGCGCCCTGCGGAAGGGAGAGACCAAGCGAAGGTGGTGGTGTCATGGCTGACCCACCACGCACCCCGGCTTCGCAACCGGACAACAGGAACAGTGCTGGAACGCAAGGGAGGCTTGGGAGGGAACTGAGGAATGCAAGGGAGCCTGACGTAGCCCGGGACGGTCCCAACACCCAAGGTCAAATGCCGGGAAAACTTCCCGAGGCACTCAGATTGTTCCCGAAACAAAATGAATGCAATTGATTGGTGGACAATGGACCACGAGGAAGTCCATGGGAAAAGGGGGGGGGTTACTGGTGAGGGTGGAGGTTCGTTCTCCGAGCTTGTGGGTTGGTTTCCAAACGTTTCGTTACCGGGCTAGGTAACATCTTCAGCTGTGTCAGTGGATTATTTACAAGGGCTTCAGGTGTGGGTGTGCCAAGTGAGGGTCTTGTGATGAGTCATCAGTGAGAGGCTGGGGAGGGGTCTCGTGATGGGGAGGTTACTACAGGTCAGGGTCCTTGGAGGGTGTGAATTATCAGCGGGTCTGGGGTGAGTCAGCAGTGAGAGGCTGGGGAAATTCGTGTGATGGGGAGGTTACTACAGGTCAGGGTCATTGGAATAATAATAAAGTTGGAAGGGACCTCAGAGGTCATCTAGTCCAACCCCTGCTCAGGCAGGAAACCCTATCCCATTTCAGACAAATGGCTGTCCAGTCTCTTCTTAAAAACTTCCAGTGTTGGAGCATTCACAAATTCTAGAGGCAGGTGGTCCCACTGGCTAATTGTTCTGTCAGGAAGTTTCTCCTTAGTTCTAGGTTGGTGAGAGTCATCTCTCTGATGACTCATCACAAGACCCTCACTCGACACACCCATATCTGAAGCCCTTATAAACAGAACACCGACACCGACATCCCCTCTAAACTCCACTGAAGACGTTACCCAGCCTGGTAATGAAACGTTCGGAAACCAACCCAGAAGCTCGGAGAACGAACCTTCACCCTCATCCTACACCTGAGCTGCAGATATTTGCCACGATTTACCTACTTTACCTACGGTTTCGTGCAAAAACTTTAGAACTGGCGTTGCTACTTCCATGCCTACGTGGAGTTATCAGTAAAGTTATTCTCCTGGTAAAATAATGTCCCAGGAGTTTCTCTGGCTGCACGTGCCAACGGGACGGTGGACAGGTGGGCTCGCCGAGACCCTGGGAGGGGAGGGGCAAGCTCTGCTCCTGCAAGCAAGTCACCTTGACGGTGAGGAAGGCGATGTTGGTGAACTCCTTCACGAAGCCGCCAATCTGGTCCTGGCCGTCCTCGTCCGTGAAGATCCAGGGCCTCCGGGCCACCTCCACCTGCCGGCGAGAGGACCGGGCAGCCGTGAGGTCTCTGGGCATCCAGGGGCCCCAAGGAGAAGCCCAGGCGAGGGGCAGGCGGCCCCCGGTCCGGCCTTCTGGGGAGGGTCCCAGGGGAAGCTGGCGAGGAATC